TGAAGGGTAGATAATGTCATCTCAATATTTAAGAAAGCAGTCAGAGAAAACCATGAATTATATACTGGTTAGCCTGACATCAAGGAAAATGATAAGAGTCAATTATAAAAAATTTAATAGCAGTGTACTCACTACAAGTGACAGGATTGGACAGAGTCTGCGTGGATTCATAAAAGGGAAATCATGCTTGATAAATCTACCAGAATTCTTTTGAGGATGTGACTAATGGATTTTTAAGGGGGAACCTGTGAATGTCATTTACTTGAATTTCAGAAGACTTTGATAAGGTCCCACATCAGAGATTAGCACGTAAAATCAACGAACATGGGATTGGGAATAGTGTATTGACATTGATAGAGAACTTGCTGGCAGCCAGGAAACAGAGAGGGGAGTAATGGGTCTTTTGTTCTGAGTAGCAGCAAGTAACTAGTGGGTACCAAAGGGATCAATGCTTAGACACAGCCCTTCAAATATATATATCTAATGATTTAGATGAGGAAACTAAACTTAACATCTTCAAGCTTGCAGATGACACAAAGTTGGGTGGATGAACTGTGTGGAGGATGTAGACCTGCTTCAATGTGATTTAAACAAGTTGGGTGAGTGGGCAAAAGCATGGCAGATGAAGTATAATGTAGTTAATTACTGGCTTTAGTAGCAAATCCAAGAAGACAAATTGTTACCTTAATGGCAATAGGTTGGGAAAGAGGAAGGTGCAATGACATGGGTGTCCTGGTGCACCAGTCACTGAAAGTAAGCATGCAAGTGCAGCAGGCAGTGAAGAAGGCAAATGGTATGTTGACCTTCATAGCAAGAGGAGGAGGGATGTCTTGCTCCAACTGTTCAGAACCTTTAGTGAGACCAAGGAGTATTGCATGCAGTTCTGGTTTCCTTTCCTGAGGAAGCATGTTCTGGCTGTGAAGGGAGTGCAGCAAAAGTATAACAGGCCGATTCCTGGGATTGCAGGATTGATCTATGTAGAGAGACAAGATAAATTAGGACTGTATTCACCGGAATTTAGAAGAATTGGTTGAATCTCTCAAAACCCTTTAAAATTCTAACACTACTTGACGGGATAAATGCAGGAAGGATGTTCCCTGATGGCCACAGAGTCCAGAATCTGGGGTCACAGTTTAAGGGTACAAAGTAGGCCATTTAATACTGAGATGAGGAGAAATTTCTTTGCCCAGAGAACCGTGAGCCTGTGGAATTCTCTGCCACAGAAAACAGCTGTGGCTAAAATATTGAATATTTTCAACATTAAAACTATCAAAAGTTGGATGAACAGCCATGATCATATTAAATTATGGAGCAGGCTTGAAGGGCTGACTGGCCTATGCCAGCACTCATCTTCGATGCTTCTATGAATAAAGGGGAGAGGGGAGTTGATCGGACTCGTGTTATCGCTGGACTGTTAATCTAGAGACCCAGCAAATGTTCTGGGGACCAGGGTTTGACTCCCACCGTGGCAGATGGAAATTGAATTCAATAAAAATCTGGAATTAACAGTTTAATGATGACCATATCCCTTATCAATTGTCAGAAAAACTGATCTGGTTCACTAATGTCCTTTTAGGGAAGGAAACTGCCATCCCTACCTGACAAAAAACTGAAAGAGCTGCAGATGCTGGAAATCAGAAACAAAAACAGAAATTGCTGGAAAAACTTAGCAAGTGTGGCAGCATCTGTGGAGAGAAATCAGAGTTCATTTTTGAAGGTCACTGGACCCATTAACGCTGATTCATTCTTACCTGATGGGGATTTCAAGACTAAGGGGCATATTTTTAAGGTGAAAGGAGAGAGATTTAAAAAATACATGAGGGTCAAATTTTTTACACACCGGCTGGATTAAGTGTGGAATGATCATCCTGAGGAAGTGGTGGATGCAGGCACAGTTACAACGTTTGAAAGGCACTTAGATAAAGACATGAATAGGAAAGGTTTGGAGGGATATGGGGCCACGAGCAGGCAACTAGTACTAGTTTAGTTTGAGATTATGTTCAACATGGACTGCTGGATTGAAGGGTATGTTTCCATGCCATATGACTGTATGGCCTGGCCTACATGTGACTCCAAAACCACAGCAACGTGGTTGACACTCCACTGCCCTCTGGGTAATTAGGGGTGAGCAATAAATGCTAGTCTAGCCAGTGACACCTCATCCAGTGAATGAATTTAAAAACAACAAACTCCCTCAGAGGATAAAATCCCCGTTCTGGATGGGATCCACTTATGTATTTTGAAAAATTCTAAGTAAGAGATAGCAGCAATATTACTATTACTTTTTCCAAACAAATTATTAAAAATGTAATGCCAGTAGATAGCTGATCTAATTCCTCTATTTAGGAAGGGGCTCAGAACATGTCCAAGGAATTGTGGAACAGTAAGCTAATTGGTAGAAAAAAATTAGAATCTGTACAAAGGCAAAGGCATCAAGAAATGCGAAATGCAATAATGAATTATCAGCATGGATTTCAAAAGGAATAATCTTGCTTGACCAATTTTATTTTTAAGGGAGATAGAATATTTAATGGCAATGCAATAGATGTAAATTATCTGGATTTTCAGTGGGCTTTTTTATTATAAGGTGCCCCACTGTAGATGAATGAATAAGGACAGAAAAAGTGGAGTCAGGGGACAAGTAGCAGAATGGATTACCAGTTGGCCTCAAGATTGAAGACAGTACCTGTAAAGGGAATTTGCTCTATGGTAAAAGGTGACAGGTGGTTTTTCTGCAAGGAGCTATGCAGGGAATCCTGCAGGTTACAAGATACATTAATGCGTTCGACTTTGGAATCAAAAATATAATTGCTAAACTTGCAGAAAATACTAAATTGTTAAAGGTTGCCATGGTGAGGAAGACTGCAACAAATTACAGGATGACATAATAAACATAGAAAATAAGTGAATATTGGCAAATGAAGTTCAAACAAATCAAGTGAGGAACTACTGTTTGGTAGGAAGAATAGGAAAGTCACATTACTTAATGGGCGTGAGTTTAGATGGGAACGAAAGGATCTTGGGGTACAAATACACCAATCACAGATTAAAACTATCATAAAAAAGCAAACCAAGCACTAGGCTTTATTTCTACACAATAGAATAGACAAGCAGGGACGTTGTGGTAAATATGCATTGAGCCTTGATTAGGCTATACATAGGGAACTGCTTGCCATTCTGGTTGTTACATAAAAGATATCGAGGCACTGGCGAGACTGCAAAAAAGGTTTTCTGCCATCATGGATGTAATGAGTGGTTGTACATATCAGGAAAGGATTGAAAGGTTGGGTTTCTTCTCTTGAAAAATGAAGGCTGATGAGTGGCCTAATCGAGGTTCTTGAAAATAATGTAATTTGTTTATCAGTTCAATGGAAGGAGAATGTTTCTTCTTGTGTGGAGTAATGTAATGAGAGGCCATCAATAGAAGATGGTCACTTGAAATTTAATGGGGAATTCAAAAGAAACTTACTGCCCAAAGTGATAGAATTCATTAGTATAGATCTAATTGAAGTGAATAGACTGCTGTAAATTTAGATGCGTAGCAACGGGAGGAGGCTCAACCGGAGTGTAGACACCAGCATAAACTGGTTGGTCCAAATTGCTTGTTTCCTTGTCATATACCCTACGTATACTGGGAGAAATTTGATGGGAAGGATTGCGAAATAAATAAGGACATAAATTAACCAGGTCTCCAGCCTTTCCATGGAACTTTGTGAGGAGCAGGGTAGCCACCTTTCCATAAAAAGGATAGTAGCATTTCGGTGGCATGTTAGAGTGCAGAGGCTCCCAAACCAGGGGTATGATCATGTCTTGCCTGGTGGAGCATTCATGAACAGGTACATTGAGTATGACAATGTGTAGACCCATTCTGTTGCAGTTATGAGGCTCACCTTGCTGTCCAGGCTAGAATCTCCAGAGAAGCAAGACTTTGTGATGGTAAAGGAGATGAATAAAAGCATATTTCTTAAGGGGCATGACACTACATCAACCCTGCTGCTCCAACTCAACAATCTCGTGGGAGAGGCAGTTATTTGATGCCCTAATGTTACGGACCCTTTCTTAGGGTATTTAAATTAAGGGATTGCCTCTTGCTCCACTGGATTTTGGCAGGGCCAGTATCTGAGACACCAGATGGACTTATGATAGCACTTACCCTGGATTGGTGACTGTCGGCTTTCAATCCTCCTGCCTTTTTGAATAGCCTGGATATTGTGTGAGGATTTTAACACTGCTGTTCATTAATTCACCCATACCTATACCCAAGAGCATTACTTGATCTATCAATAAACATGAAGTTTGAAATTATGCAGTCATTCAACAATGTGGTACTTTCACCGTGTAAAGTGACAAGTGAAAGCTATCAACATCCAATTTGGAAGGAAGTGAATATCACGTTTTTAGGTTAATTGCCAGACGTGGATTGTACTAACAAATGCACAGCAGAGTATATAGCGTATATTTCAGCTTTCAAGAGATTCGGTCTGCTTACTGAAACTGTTTGTTTTTAAAATATAAATTTAATGAAAGATATTTGAGAAAGTCGCTGAGTTATATAGCAGCAAAAAACCCAAATAGTAATTCCATGGTTCCTTGGATGGTGAATTCAAGCATCCATCTTTTTCTACTGCTGGAGTTTGTATCAGTAACATAGGCACATGGTGTTAGCTTTAGCAAATCTGGTAAAAGTTTGTTTTGGAATTGCTGCCTGCTGCATGAGATCTGCATGCCTGAGGCTGACAATGCCAAGTCTACACAAGAGCAGCTTTTGCTGTTGGAGGAAATAATGCTAATACCTTCCCCACCCTCCATTTTAGCCTGGCTGATCGTAACTCATAACTAACTTAATGATTTTCTTTATTGAGACTTGTCAGTGAAACCTAATATCGTTTATTATGTACTATGCTATATGCTCTGCATTATAGAGGTATTTTATCAAAACCCCATCCTAATGTTTCACTTTTAGATTTATAATTATGGTGCTTGTGTTAATCCTTAGGTTTTGAGTGCATCTTCTGTAACTTTGTGTGTAAAACAAAGATGATGTATGACCGACATCTACAAATCCACCTCATCACCAGGATGTATGAGTGTGACATCTGTCACAAATTTTTGAAAACGCCAGAACAACTTGTGGAGCACAAAAAATGCCATAACGTATCCACTGGAGGACTCAAGTAAGGAAAGCTGGGATGTAGACTGCCATTCTCAGAGTTTGGCATTTAGGAACTTACCAGCAGAAAATATTTTTCGACTTTTGGGTTTGATACAAGCTAAATTTATACTGGCTTTCAGAAAGTTACTGTAGTGTTAAATGGTAATGAGAAGATCATCCAGTTTTGTTCAGTACCACAAAAAAAGCAAAATACAAGAAATCTGAAATAGACAGAAAATGTCAGAAATGCTCAGCACATCAGGCATCATTCTTCATGAAAGGCAAAAGATTACGGCAACATTTCATTTCAAGCCTATGACCCTTCCTCAGAGTCTAGCTCTGACAAAACATCATAGACTTGAAATGATAATCTCATATTTTTCATTATGTACAGATTTTGCCTGATTTTCTGAAGGTTTCCAGCATGGCTATTCTTTACTTTTTTCAGTGCAAAATATCCATGTTACAATTGGAAATTGCATTTTGTTTAACAGTAAATCTGTCAAAGTACCGAAAGTAGTTCCTAAGTTGTACATGACAGATAGCCGCTTAGATGAGGTCCTGGAAGACTAACAATTGGTTGAGAGGTAATGCAGCAGAGTCTGATCCTGACCTTGCCAGCTTCTGTTCATGTGCCAATTCCAGTAAGATTCGCTGGATAATGAAGAGGTGTAAGAATTATTCTGATTATCTTTCTCCATTTCCAGAAGGCAGTTGTGGCATCTCCATTGGTTTAGCATCTAAAGTTGGCTATATTTAGGGTATAGTTTGAAGTGTGACATTTATAACCATCGTAGAATTTCTGTATGGCATTAAACGTTCTATTGGAGAATAATATCTTTTGCTACTGAGGAACTAAGCTGTTTATTTTTTTAAAACAAGTTCTACTGGTGGGGACTTTAAACCATACATTGATGTGTCATGAGTAACTACGTACAGTCCAGATTTTACTGTGACTGTTACTGAGAATGCATTGCAAAGGATAAGCAGTGATGACAGCACTAACTTAGTTGCTCTAATTTCAAAAGCCTTCTTGAGGCATAACCAGGTAAAAATAGACATCAGCTATCAAAGGAGATGTTAAAAGGTCACTTAAAACTTAATCAAATAGTGAACTTTAGGGAGAGCCTTAAGGGAGATGAGTGATGTAAAGATTTAGGAAGGCAGTTGCAGAGTAATTAGCCTAGGTAACTGAGTGAGTGTCTGTCAAAAGTTCAAGTCCAAAGTAAAATGACAGAGCCTGGGGAAAGGAGTGCAGTTGTAGGGCTATGGTTACAGGTGAGAGGCCACGTAAAGAGATAATACAACAAGTGAGGTTGGTTTCAAGGAGAATTTAAAAGAAGTGATGTTCAGTAGGGCATTCCAGAGCTTTGTGCTGAGAGAGGTATAAAGAACTTAGTAACCTCTGGCAATGAAAATGCATGAGGTAGCCATCCAAACAAACTACAAAGATAATTTGTTTCCTCGACAGTGTATCAACCATCTTTCTTCCCAAGGGTAATACCACAATGGAACAACTAGGGATGCCATTTAACAATTAGAGGAATATGAATAAGGAATATGGCCTATAATTCTGACACAACTAAAGCAGAATGTTTGTGCACCCTTTCCATGTACCTTGACTCGCTTAGTCATCAAAAATCTGTAGACCTACATCTTTAATATACTCATTAACTGAGCATTCATAGGTTTCTAGGGTATAAAATTCTAAAGGTTCTGGGGAAAATTTTCCATATCCCCTGATGGCCAGCCCTTATTCTAATACTGTGATCCTTAATTCTAGACTCTACAGCTTTGAGTAATATCCTCCCAGAATCTACTCTAATTTTATATGTTTCAGTGAGACTATTTCTCATTCGTCTAAACTCTAGAAAGTATAGACCCAATCTATTCAGTATTACCTTATCATAAAATCCACTCAAATGCAATGACTTGTTGCTGAAGTAGAAGAACATTCACAGTCTTGCAGAACAAGCTCAATAGGTTGCATAGCCTGTTTTGTGTTCTATTTTATATGTTTTCATGTGACCCACCTCAATTCTGACTACCAGCTTCCCAGCCTGGTCTTTATACTAACCAATACTGTAAATGCTTCCCTCTTCTCAAATATTATCCAAATTCCTGATAAAATTGAAGCCAGAATCAATATTTTGAACCTTCCTCATTAAATTCTCTAAGTCAAGTATGTCCTTTGGTAAGAAAGTATAAGAACATAAGAAATATGATCATGAGTAGGCCATATTCCAACCTGAGTTTGTTCTACCATTTAATAAGATCATGGTTGATCTGATTGTGACCTTAATTCCACTCTCTTGTTTTTCTCCTATATCCCTTTGTTGTTTTGTAAACCAAAATCTGTCTAGCTCAGCCTTCAGTATATTCAAAGATCAAGTTTCTACTGCTCTCTGGATGGTGAATTCTGAAGATTAATGACCTTCTCTGAGAAGAAAGCCTCCTCAGTTCCATTAAGTGGGAAGCCTCTATTGTGCCCCCTAGTTGTAGATTTCCCACAAGGGGAAATATCCTGTCAACATTTACTCCACCAAGCTACCTTAGAATCTTTAAATGTTTCATTCTGCTAAACTGTAATAAGCATGGGTCCAACCTGCTCAAGCTTTCCTCATACACAAGAATCAACTAGCGAACCTTCTCTCAAATGCCCTCCATGCAAACGAGGAGGCCAAAATTATATACATAGTACTCTAGGTGTGGTCTCATCAAAACTCCACACAGTTGTAGTGAGACTTCTGACTTTTATACTCAGTTCTTCTAGCAATAATACTCATGGTTCTATTTGTCTTCCTAATTATCTTGCTGTACTTGCACACTTACCTCTTGAGATCCTTGTGTTAGGGCACCAAGATCCATATGCTTTAGCATTCTGTAGTTTCTTTCTCAATTGACATGATAATCTGTTTTACCATTATTCATACCAAGGTGAAGAACTTTACATTTGCCTTCATTATACGTCATCTGCCAATCTTATGCCCACTCTCAATTTTTCTGTTTTCCTTTGCAAACTCTTTGTATTCTCTTTTGTGTTGGAGAACCACAATTCCACATTGGCTACTAGGTCACCCCCATTCATTTCTATCTTTGCTGACAGTTCATCCATTTTGTTAAGAATATTTCAAACATTCAAATATTTTACCTTTTAGGTTTTTGAAAATTTTTATATCTTTCTTTCATGCCACCCTAGTCAATAATGCCCCAGCACCTTTGTTTAGCTGTCTACTCCTTCCTGACCTACTCTGCTCTTTTCAATTCAATTCAACTTGTGAAGGGGAATGAGTGGAGAAAGGAAAGAAGCTAGAAAAACATGGTGTTTTAGAAGGGAGGGCATCCTTGTAAGAGGTGTGGTTTGATGGTAAGAGAGAAAGGAAAAGCGGTAGACTAGCTGAGTGCATTGTCTTGATTTTGAAGACAAATTCCATGAGTTCCTCAATTGCTGGAGGTGTGGAAGGGAGGCATAGGGAAGACACAATTAAGGAAGTGGTTGACAGTAAGAAAAAGAAGCTGGGCTTTTCCTCTTTGGATGATTGCACAAGACTGAAGTCAATAAAAGAAAGTAAGACTTGTTCTCATTTGACGTGTATTTTTTATTGATTTATGGGCTGAGGGTATCACTGGCTAGGCCAGTATTTATTACCCTAATTAATTTTGAGAATGTGGTGGTGAGCCGCCTTCTTGAACCACTGTCATGTAGGTAGATACAAGTATCATTTCTTCAGGGAGGGAATTCCAGGCTTTTGATCCAGTGGCATTGAAGCACTAATAATAGAGTTCTAAAACAGGAAGGTGTGCAGTTTGGAGAGGAACTTGCAGGTTGTGGTATTCTTATGCATTTGCTGCAGTATACACTTGTCACTGTCATAAAGGAAGTGAATGTTGATGCGGTGTTAATTTTTAAGTGGTCTATTTTCTGCTGGATGGTGTTGAACTCTCAAATGTTGTTGGAGCTGCAGTCAAGGAATTGGAGAATATTCCATCACATGCCTGCCTAATGCCTTGTAGATGGCAACAGCAATCCAACGTGCCTCCATGTGGGCCAGCAAGATAAGTTGCTGGATGGCTAATCTAGTTGCATCCCTAGAAATACTCAAATCTGTGACCCTAACATTTGATTGAGCAAAGATGACCATACCAAGGCAACTGATTAGAATGGGAGATATATTTAAATCATAAAATTCCTACAGTGTGGAAACAGGCCATTCAGCCAATCAAGTCCACACCAATCCACCCCCTGACCTGTCTTTGTAACCCTGCATTTCCCACGGCTAATCCACCTAGACTGCAAATCTTTGGACAATTTAGCACAGCCAATCCACCTAACTTGCACATCTTTGGATTGTGAGAGGAACCCAGAGCATCCGGAAGGAACCCACGTAGACACTGGGAGAATGTGTAAACTCCACACAGACAGTTGCCCGAGGGTGGAATCAAACTCATGTCCCTAGCACCAGGAGGCAGCAGTGCTAACTACTGAGCCACTGTTTGATGGACATTTGGAAATTTCAAAATGCACTCATAATTTACTTCAACAGCCACTTGGTGAAGTACAAGGAAGGCATCTTTGGAATCTTACCTAGCAAAGACCTTCAGGAAAGGGGAGCAACAGAGACAACTGATAAAGAGATTTTAAAAAAAGTAAAGCATACAACATATTATACAGTATCTTAATTTTTTCCCTTTCTCATCCCTTACCCTGTATCAGGTGCAGTATGTCTGGATTTATATGTAATTCATACCAAATAGTTGAAATCTTTGGACAATTAATTTCCTGAAGTAATTTGACTTTGATCAAAAAATGTCCATTGAAAACTAACTTGTATGAAACTGAGATAGTAGGAACTGCAGATGCTGGAGAATCCGAGACAACAAGGTGCAGGGCTGGATGAACACAGCAGGCCAAGCAGCATCATAGGAGCAGAGAGCC